CATAAGCTTGCCTGTTATTCCGTTTTCTTCCAAGCAGCTGATGAAGGTTGGTGTGTTTCAACCAGTGTGAATACACATTCTTGATCCTAATTATTTGGGACTTTATTGAGTAGAACCACAATTCAATAAGTGGTTGACCTAGCATGTCTAATATTGGATGAAGGGGACAGGCATCATAAACAGCGTAAATATAACAGAACCAGGTGGTTTGTGAAATTCATACATAACGAAAATAATTGTGGGCTGTTCAATCAACTTTCTGAGAACTTCGATATTTAACTCTAAAAATCCTAAGTTCCATCTGTCTTGTTCCTGAAATGAAAAAAATCTCGTTGCTTGGGTAGTTTGCCAATTTAAGTCTCATCATCAAAAAAACTTATTCCTGAGTGCTAATTTTGACACAAAACTACTGTATCTCTGGTGTTCACCAGTTGATTAGAATGAGCTTTATGTTCTTTGATTACAACTTACTCTTGTCTACTCTGGGCTTTCATGTAATGGTAGCAACCCTGCCATATTACATGTAGAATGATTAATGAATAAAAATAAACATCCACATACACCACTTTTTCTTGATTGAAAGAATACTCCGAACTTTTTCCTCATTGTTTAATCTCTAAAGAACACAGGCTAAAAATAATTAAATCGTCATTGTTCAGTTTGATGATAACCGGCTCACATACTGGTATATATAAACACTGGAAAACCGATCCATTTATATTGCTTCTTTCTATATCCTCCTCGGCTAAAACCTTATCAAGCTATTAAAGTCAATGGTATATGTATATGCATATTCACATCTCAGTTTACAAGTTCTTGTTTCCTATGGTATATATATATATATATATATATATATATATATATATATATATATATATATATATGTTCAGACATTAACCGGATGTGCCATCTTCATTTGAGTAAATATATGCAAAACATATGCTCATTGTTTTACTGTAAATCTAAATAAATAATCATATTTAGTGTTTGTTTAGATAGCAAATGAATGTAAGATAATTAAAAATCCAAGGAATATTTATAGCAAATGATTTATAAGTCCACGTATTTGCATTCCAGGTTTAAAGTTTAACATTATCTTTTTACTGTCACGAAGATAAGTATACATTTGAAGAAGCAAATTAGGAGTTTTCATATTATTTTAAGCTTAGATACAGAAGTTTACCTGAAATTGAGCAACAGTAGTTTGTTGATGCTATCGACCCGATTAGTCGGCCATAAGGGTAAGATCATATTGCTTACTTCAACCTAAGATCCCCAACATATACATCTGGGGTTCACTTGTCACATATGGTTCTGTGCATAAATATGCGCAAACCTAGAACTGTTTTCATCCCTAGACGTCTTTCTGAGTACTCCATGTCCATATTTCTCAAGAGTGTAAATTATCTAGACAAGTATCTGCCTCCTTAAACAGCTTAAAAGTACAGAGATCGAGGATCAACTGATATGCAATAAAATACTGGTTTGATTTTGGAGCTATGATTTTCAATGGTGTAAGATGCACAGATATTTGAGGATCATCATTGTGTTCATAGATGTTGCCCTTTTAAAACTGGTCTGTTTTTCAGCAATAACTGCCAAATATATGTACCCTGATTCCTTAGCTTCCTGCAAAAACAGTGACATATAATGGTATTGAAATAGGTCTAGTCATGGCAATGTCAGTCACGTTAAGTCATTTAAAAAAAAGCAGAAACGATAAGTTTTAAAAACCAAAACTTATTCATTTTATTTTACAGTTTACTGTTAGCTCCGAATAACGTCAAATAAAAACGTTTATTATAGTATTTAGACGAACCAATGTAGCATACTGCAACTGGAAAAGTTCAAACAACCAACTACAATTTATGGTGCGTTTACAATCTGCAAGAGGGAAACTTACACTAAGCACTAACCACTTGGCAGTTACCTTAATCACAATGCACTCAGTCCACTGCTACAAGGCCTCAGTTATAGTCTACATTAAACGAGTAATGTACCATCTGATCTTCAAAAAGGAGGAGATAAAGCTCAGATCCCACCAGCGACCTGAGTTGCAGTGAATTTGCAGCTATGCAAGAAATTGAAGAATTTATGTTAGAGGACTGAAGTGAAATAACTATCTGAATGTAAAAGAAACTGCCTACCATCCCCATGATATTCCTGATAGTGGTGTACTGGATCATGCAACAAACAGGGGAGAGCGAGAAGAGGGGGATACGCTGGCTGGACCGATGAAAAGAGCCTAGAAGATCTGGATTTCGTCGATGACTTGGGTCCAATATCACACAAACTCGAAGATCTACAGGCGAAAACCAACAGGTTGACAGAAGAGGCAGGGCAACGAGGAGGGGACTTCAAGTGAACGTAGAGAAGACAGAGTTGATGATGATAACCTACCAACACCACCACCACCACCACCACCAACAACAACAACAACAACAGAAGCTCCAATCACCATCAACGGGAGAAACTTAAATGAAGTGGTCTCTTTCACCTACCTGCCTAGGCAGCACCGTTTCAACTACAGGCCGCACAGACGAGGACGTCAAAGTCAGGATCGGAAAAGCCAGACAGGCGTCCATCGACCTGAAACCAGTGTGGAGATCTTCTGCACTCAGCATGTGGAACAAGATCCGGATTCTCAACACCAACGTCAGTCAAGTCAGTACCTCTGTATGGCTCAGAGACTTGTCGCGTCACGAAAGACATTTCCAACAAACTACAGACATTCATCAACCACTGCCTATGCTCGGTACTGAAGCCCAGATCAGATGGCCAGAAAGAATAAGCAACAAGGACCTCTGGCCTCTGGCTGGCAACGAACCAACCAAGAACCCATCACCCAACAAATATGCAGAAGGAAGTGGAGATGGATTGGATTGAGCATACACTGAGAAGGCCGATTTGGGACATCACGCGCCAGGTCAGGCCCTCGAGTGGAGTCCAAAGGGGAAATGACGAGTTGGGTGTCCGAGGTGAGGGTGACATGGAGGAGATCGTGCGAGGAGGAGATGAGAGGTTGTGGGCAGTCATGGTGCCAGGTTGAGAAGACTGCATAGAAGAGAGTGAAATGGAGACGTACTACTGAAGCCCTATGTTCCATTAGGAACCCAAGGGACTTATAATAGTAATTATTATTATCTTAACTTACATATGAATAAATGGAAGGTTGTTCGGTTGTGAACAAGAAAAAGGTGACCATCTAATACTAGCTGCCTAACTAAGCAAATATTCAACCCTGCTCTAACGATTTCAATGACTATCGTACCTAGGTAGAACCCTGGTGAGAACTATGCTGAATTCTTCATTCCCTTCCAGAGTGAATGTTTACAAACCACAGCCTAAAATTTATTATGAACTGTTTTTTAAATAGGTTTTTCTTCAATCAATAATTTTCATTCAATTCTGAACTTACGATGAACCACCAAAAGTGAAATATTGCATCTAAAATCAAAGCAATTGCCTTTCTCTTAGCTGCTTTGTAGTTGCTTCATTCGTTGACTTTTGGTCCACTTACTCTAATCCTCACAGCTTCCGTTACCATGATCGAATCCATTTTTTCGAGATAGTAGAAGAGCTAAATTTTCATGCATTTATTGATAAGTATATTTCTGTGTTTATCCGGCGTTTAAAAAACGTGACCAGCTAAACCATGTAACTGATTATTTTACCGAGATAAGTCAGTAACTGTAAATGTCATAAGGATGGTGATTCAGTATAGTAGATCTCAATAATTCAACCAGAAAGCAATTTTGAAATATTCACTTGTAAAAATCTAAGTTAACAGTTTCAAAAGGCTGGGTACAAAGCATTTTACAATTTCGACAAAATAATAAGAAGACGTAAATTGTCTGAACCGTGTAATGTATTTGCGCAACACATTTCGAAATATCTGATCACACACGTACTTGTCATGGGTATTTATATAAAAAAACTCATGAAGATAAGGGGTGAGAAAATAAAAAGGAGTCAGTTAGGAAGGCTGACTTAAAGGCCGAATAACAATGAAAATTAATAGAGCGGAAAAATAATAGTACATAGAACTTGGTTTTCAATAGTTGAATTTACCAAGGAAGATTTAATGTGACAACAAATTGTTTATGAACACATAAAGGTAGTTTTAACTTCCTAATAGCTAAGGCTTCAACAAATTTCAGGATCCCTCCCCAACATGTTTTGTAAATAGGTGTGAAGGAAGTAGCCACATCAATTTTATGACCTGTCTCAACGATATGTTTGGCGATCGAAGAACTTGGACGTCTGCTACCAACATTTATGGGTTCAGGTAAATTAATTTGCTTCTGAAGCAGCTTTCGAATATGACCCCTTTTTATTTTCTCACCCCTTATCCTCATGAGTTTTTATATAAATACCTATGACAAGTACGTGTGTGATCAGATATTTCAAAATGTGTTGCGCAAATACATTACACGGTTCAAACGGTTTACGTCTTCTTATTGTTTTGTCAAAGTTTATAAAGGGAACTAATCATTTTACAATTGTATTTTACCATGATTTGTTTCTTGGATCCTATCAATTGATACATGTTTTATGCATATAACTCTCTGAAGAGAATCAATTTTCGTTGTTTGTTACAACAAAATAGGTCCCTAATAAACATGAATCAAATAGAAGTTGAGAAGCATCTTCGTTTACTGAAGCAAAATCCTCACCTGATTATTAGTTACATCTTGGAGGTCAGACCGAAAAGCACAGCTCCATAGGCAGAGTTTCTGTCCAATTATAACCATTATCGTTATGTATACAGATGAGTTTACTAACAGAAACCATATCAGAGAATTCACTGAAGTTTAATGCACCTTCTAGATTGAAACTATATCTGTAGCTTAGGTGAAACACCAAGCTAGTAATCAAAGGCGTTTATTCTATTTTTACGAGCATATTTCAGCATGTGTTCAGTGAAGACGCTTTTATGACTAGGAAAAGTGTTCTAAATGTACTTTAAATAAGTGTCTACTTTTTTTGTTGTATGCTAGGTTTCTGCTCCACTGATACCTAATTGTAAGGGTCCTGGTGATGCAACAAACTTTGAACGATACAAAGAAGAACCCTTGAAGAAAAGTAGAATTTGCAAATTTGAAGCAGAGTTCGCTGACTTCTAGACTGCTAATACTTTTTACCTGAATGTTTAAGTTTTTCGTATGTTGTTTTATTGCTGCTTTTTTTCATTTTTTACCACACTGAGATTATAAGCAGTTTTGAAGTAATGAAAGTGATAGCAATGTATTCTGTAACAGCATTTTGAAAATTCTTGCCTCTTTCAGACTTCCTTCCTGCCTTTCTTCTGCCAAAAGATATTATTTATTGTAGTTTTCTGTTGTAATGTACAGAAATTAAAATGTCAGTCCACAAAAAGAAAGCAAACGTTCTCCCTTCATTCATAAGATTTGCATCCATTGTGAATCTGTTTTCCTCGGATATTCTTTTGTGATAGATGTATACATACACATGTATATGTATAAATATCTTCTTTGTGTACAATTTTTTTCTATAAAACCGAATGAAATCTTTTAAAAAATAACAAAACTTGTATGTCAGTGGAGTAATGAATTTGTCAGCTAGCTAACCATATATCATGTTATATTTTACAACATTTGCATGTATTATTTGCTACTATTTCTTTGTCAGAATCTAAAAACCCAAACAATGTATTAAACCGAATATATACCTTTGAACATAGAACAAAACATAATCATCTTGTTTGTTTTAATTAACTAACTCAACCAACTGACTGGCTTTCATTTATCAATGCATAGTAGAAAACTGACAAAAGTGAAGAATGAAAAGTCCCTTCTAGGAACAAAGAAGCTAAGAGTGAAATACAGAAGACAAGTTCGAGAAACCGTTTTTTAAAGTCGTTTTGACTTTTATACACGGGACTGGTATTAATTGACTAATTGCTGTGTTGACTGAATGTTCTAACATGAAAGTATTTGCTGGCGATTGTCCAATCTACATGCGTTCACATTTAACAGTGAGCCAATCCTGTCTAATTTTTGAATTCAGATTAAAAATCATTATGTTTCACAGTAAATTCCAGAACGTCTTCAAAGAAGAATGCGTGTGACACTAAAGATCAAATGACTACTTGATAATCATCAACAAATAAAAACTGGACTGATTTAATAAAAATACGCTGCTTCTTATTCATTTTCAAGCCAATGCATTCACGAAAAAATTTTTTCGACGATCCAATAGGTTTTTATGCACTGATAACTATGTTTCCTTATCTCTTATAAAGTTACCATTTTTAAGTAGAAATTTACGGAAAATAAGTCTTCCAGGCTTATCAAAACTTGATTTCCGTGGTGTATGATAAGAAAATCTGCTAAGTCAAAGTGTCTGAAGAGTTCATCACACCAAGTAATAGATCGATAGAGCGAGACTAAAGGGTAAATGGAAGCTGCAGCAAAAATTGATAATGATTGTAAAGCAGTCTATTTAAGGTGCACAATCAAAGCAAATGCCATATTTTTGTGAAAAACAAAACAGTCGCAAGACATAAACACTTACTTCCACCTCTAAGTCTCTAAAAGGCTAATTATTTCTGGAACCCTTAGTTTCAAGTACTTTTCCTAGTAAACAACTTTAACTATGATCTAAAGTGACACAAATCGAGTCACATCTTCAAATTTGTATGGTTATGGTTTCAAATTACGCGAAAATTAGTTTGATTGCACTCTGCTGACATGATATAAACGAGTACACTTCAGCAGTCAACCCTAGCAAATAAATGTTAGTGTTTCGGTCACTTTAAAATCCATAAACGTGTAAGTCAGTTTCGTCACTGTATTTAACTTTAGTGAGATGGCATGATTTCTTTTCACAACTAGAGGACGTACTGCCTCTTAATTCCAATATGCCATTATTTCACTACACGTCTCGCTATAATTGACAATCATGACATTGTAAGAGGCTCTTTTGATGACACAGAGAATCTAGGGATTTATTTCCCATTTTTCACCGAGTTCATCTCAATTACTTCAGCAGTAACTTAGTAATCCTATGAGTTAATTCAATTTTACTGATTTTCCTTGTGTTGCAAACACCATCGACTAACAACGAATGCTTATACGTCTGTATTCTTATGTTTTCACGATCAATTGATTTCACTGCTTAAAACAGTAAACTAAGCTTTGGTATTTCTTATAATTATATCCCTTCATTTGCCAATTTGTATTCTTCCTACACTCACAGCTATGTGATTTTTCAGCATCACTGTGAGTATTATACCACAACTGGTTACATGATTTGTGTAAAATGACTGTTAATACATTGTTTTCAAGGAATAATGATGAATTCTTCACAAAGCCTTAAGCAAAAAAAATGCATTTTCCGTATCCAATAAATTAAAGCCAGTACAGCAACCATAAAGTAATAATTGAAAACTGTTGCTCTTCGTAGCTTTACTTTATAGGTGAATCTATGGAATTCAAAAACAATATTTTTAAAAATGCTGCAATAACGAAAATGTATCCAGCTGCTAAACCAGTTGCTTTATTTTTAAGGAATCACTTACCAAGATATTTAAAAATAGAATCTTCTCTTTGTACATGTGTGTGTGACTGTAACGATCGAGATAATGACTCATACTGATCTGTTTGAGAATGCTTCAAATAAACTGTAGGCGGAATCATGCAACAGGCATCAGTAATGTGATAACTTGTTATTTCTTCGATGGTGAACACGGAAATTACACCTCAAAATTGTTCAGAATAACTAACAAAACATGACCTTAAATTTATTTGGTTTGACTATAAAAATGACAAAAGAAACAAAAAAAACAACTTTTGCATCCAGGATGAAGCCTACGATAATCTCTCCCTTCCACAGTAAATTTTTTTAATCGTCATTTACGTCGTCCTTCCAGTCTTTCTTTGACTTTTACTTGTTTCATTATTTTTTTGTCTTAGTTTTTACTCGTCTTGTGGTTATGAACAGCCAAAATTCTTCAACAAGTGACACAGAGACGGGGAAACAACTTATAACCTGACGAAAAAGTGCATAAGTTCAAGCTTCTACATTTCCTAGTAGCCTGTAAAGAAAAGGTGAGCAGAAAATAAACAACATAAAAAAGGTTAAGTATACTAGATGAAAGGAAATGCACAGGCGTAAGTTAGTGAAAATACTCAAAACTTCGATGACGCTTAGTGTATGGATCTGCGTTACTGTGATCATTTTTAAGCCATACCACCAAGAGTTACCAACCACTGCCTCCTTTCCTATTAGGGGTCTCAGTGAAGTAACCTACGCGCCTCCTAGGCAGCCTATACGAACATTCAAAGACTTAATGGGTTAGTGTCATTGGCAGCCCTCAGCACTGGCAGATATCTTACAGCGTAATCCTGAGTCCGTGACCTAGTATGTCAAGGCAGACAATAATCTGTTATGCGTGACACAAGTTCAGGCCATCCCAGTCGGTAAAGGTTCCTTGTTTCATTGATTGACTTCCCCTTGTTGCCTAGTAACCCATACTTGACTTTACATCATGTCGGCGAAGATTTATGTACTAGGCACTGGAAATGACATTGATTTGAGAGCTTGTGACTCTAGACGCGTTTAACAAAGATCTGGGTGGTTGAAGTTGGACTTAAGTCTCACACAAGCCGCTTGATGTGCGAGTGTTTAGAAGTGTCAGCCACATCTCTTCTTCAGTAGTGCTTATATGGTGTTCCTAACATGCTCCAGAGGCACCTTTGGTCAAACACTTGCAACCTGTTTATATTTTCTACTTTCGACAGTCACTTCTGACAGATCTTTAATAAGATAGGACTGACTTCTGAGCAATATACTCATTCTTCAATGGGCAGCTGAATATCTTGCCAGTGCCACAGATGATGTAAGTTGAAGAGTGTTGGGCGATATTTTTTGCATCTAAGCTGAAATTTCTTTAGCAACTGATCAATATGGGCTTTGCCATACATCAGGTTAGTAAATGGTCAACAGATTTCTGTCAATTAACTATTCATCCCTAAAACAGAAGTCAGTGCAGATCAGCCTTACATTTGATGGGTGCGAAACTCATGTTGCTTTCAGGGCATCTATAGCTCAGTTATCTGCCCAGCATCCCTTCAATAGTAATTCTCATAAGTTTATTTGTTCACTTCGATGTTAAATGGTTGGTGACTGATTTTTCTCACTTTCTCTTAAACCAATGCATCTTTGTTGCAATACTTTTCTAAGATTTGCGTATTCACATAGGATTGTAAAGTTCTTAATTATGAAATACATTTGATTTACTTTGGTTTACAAAATCATAGGTTAGCGCCAAACAGATGAATATTTGATTGCGAGTGGTTCTGACCTATTTATTCCAATCATTTTTTGAAAGAACTGTAATTATATGAAGTAACATCTGGACAAAAACATCATACTTCGGAAATGTATTATCCGGTGACACGAGCAAAAACTTATTTCCCCCATTTGTCTTTCAAAAATGTATTTTCCGGTTGCCACATTCCCAGCACCAGCTGAGTGCAAATAAACGGTTTAGGCGGCCAATAACTGAACCCATTATCAAACTATACATCTTTACTGACTGGGATCATTGAAAAAGTAGTTCGCGAATTTTGCAGCTAGTGCCTATTTTGATTTGTATTTTTAACCTTATTTGGAGACAAATTTGTGCTTCAACATCTTGGAATGGGCAAGAAGTCGGCGAAGAAATGACAATTTTCCATTGATTCCTCATCATGAGTTGACAACAATATACATACCTTATTATTTATACCTATATGCAATTCCACAAACAACTGGTTAGTAGACGTTAGTTACAGCCTTCAAGTTATCAATGAAGTAAGCAACCGAAGCAGTCAAGATGCAAAGTAGTGCATAGAACAAAAAAGTAATGTTCAGAAAGTGTGAAATCAAATGACTTAGGCTGTTAACTGAGTGTATGAAACTAAACATAAGGCCCTATATATCGGTATAGGCTTATAGTGAGAAGGTAATTGAAAAGAAATACTGTTTCACCAAACGCATTTCTTCCTGCCCCTCCTATCGCTTTTATTTATTCTGTTGATTGTTTTTCACTTCGTTGTATGGAAACAACAAATACCTCAAACCAGTCGTTATCACGATTCACTTTATGTCTTTATAGTTA